TGTAGAAAAGCAGGAAGTTAAATGCCTGAACTTGATCTTTATTTGGGACAGAAGTGCAGTTTCATTCTGCAGCCCCTTCATAATTGTGACATTATTATTATGGCTTGAGGACCATAGTTCACCAACGCAAACTCAAACCATGTCTGGCCTCCGGGAGGAGGAACAGATACATACGGGGCTTTCGCACCAGAAGCCTGTTAGGTAGCGATTTGGAAGCAGCTCCAGGAGGAAAGGCAGTGGAAGAAGACACCAAGTACTATGAGCTGCCTAAAGGTCACACGCCGGCACTCCTGGGACAGTGAGTGCCTGTTGGGGGGAATTGTCTACGGTGTCAAGTAGCCCCTCTGAACTCTATGTTGAACGACAGAAATTAAAAATAAAAACCTTAGCTAGCCCTCTCTAAGACAATAGCACCCACATTTACTTTGGTGCCCATTGACCACGCAGACTCCAAAATGGAGTATCATTCAGCCTTGGAAAGGGAGGAAATCCTGCCTTTTGCAGGAACATGACCTTGAGGGCATTCTGCAGGGACCTCAAGGTCTTATCATTACGCCTATTTCACTTATAAATTAATTAAGACAGAGAGACAAATACCATGACCTCACTTATATGTAGAATTTTAAAAATGCCATTCTGGGCCAACATCTTTTGAGTCCCAATTTCAATGTTGAACAGTTCCTTATGTGTACATGTCAGCCATGATATTTCAGTTCTGGGTGGTGGACAAAGGGTGGTGATGCAGGTCCGACCCTCTCTACAGACTGATTCATTTGCATAACCATTATTGCTTATCTCATTTTCCGTTCTCATAAGTGTTTTTCTTGTATCACATGATTTCACTCATCTAGGGGAAATAATGAACAACATAAACTGATGAACAAAAACAGACCCGGAGACAGGGAAGCATCGATAACACTGTCAAACCTCAGAGGGTAGGAAGGGGAGGGTGGGGGACAGAGGGAGAGATCAACCAAAGGACTTGTGTGCATCCATATGAGCCTAACCAGAGGTCAAGGACAACAGGGAGTGGGGGCATTGGTGGGGAGGGGTTTGGGATGAGAATGGGGGGATGAGGACAATTATGTGATACCATAATCAATAAAGAAATAAAAAAAAAAAGTCAAACTCTTAGAAAAAAAGAATGGTGGTTGCCAAGGGCTGAGGAAGGGGATGTTAGTGGAAGGATATAAAATAAAGAACTTTTTCTGTATGGTCTTTGATCTCAAGGTATGGATTCACCCCAGGATTGTTTGGGGTGTAATTGGGCAATATTTCTGAACTCACTTCATTAAGACAGCAATGTAAATCTGAAGAATTCTTTGTGGCAATCACCTGGCTCAGCTGGACTGGGAGGACAGGGCCTTGGGGTTCTACAGAGTTTCTGAGTCACTGCGGTGTATAAAGTTCTTATTTAAACAAGCCCCGCCCAGCCGTAAAAGTATGCCTCAGGGTTTGTTTCACAGGACAACTCACACCACGGAGCAAAATGTCTTCGAGGAGGAGAAATAAACTCCCTGATGTTCCTTCTGGAGAAAACTCCGTTTATAAATCATGTGACCCTTGTCTGTCCAGGACAACTCTGGGTGTGGCCCACGCTTCAGGCTCCAAGGAGTGCCAGTCCCGGAGTTTTCTCCCGTGATTTGCCAAAAAGGCCTCTCTGTGCTCTAGTCTTTCTGTTTGTGAGCGTGTTGTTGCAATTCATTGTCTGGGCACAGCTGTTAACATTCTTCAGCACCGAGTATTATTTGAAGACGGGAAACTCCAGTTTACCTCTAATGTGAACAACAGGAGAATTCAAACAGCATTTAGTACTGAATATTTTGTAAGGCATTTTGAGTAAAAGCATACCGATAAGATGAGTACATCTGTAGCACTTCTAGTAGAGAATAAAAGAAAAATAGAAATACACACTGTTAGAAACCAAAGGATATAGGACCATCGAGGTGGAGAAGCAAGTTTGCATAAAGCTGTGCTGTACAGAACTTAATGAATTGTAAAAATCACAAGCAATGGCCAGTGTTCTCAGTGGTCAGAGCGTTAGCCCAAGCACCCAAGGTTGGGGGTTTGATTCCCAGTCAAGGACATGTATCTGTTTGCAGGTTTGGTCCCTGACCCCGGTTGGGAAGCGTGGGAAAGCAACAGACCTAAGTGTCTCTCTCTCATTGATGTTTCTCTTTCTCTCCCTCTCCCCTTCCACGTTCTCCAGTGAGGATTTTTTTTTTTTTTTTAATCACAGTGAAAGATAGAATTCACTAGGAAGATGTAAATGAAGATAATTTAGTCAAAACAGAAAACCTATGCTGACCAAACAGCACAGAAGAAATGGAAAATATGTTCAAAATAATGCATTAAAAAAAAAACAGTCCAGGCCTGCTGTAAAGGCAAGTATTTTTGTATATTCACAGAATAGAACCATTGAATGCAATATAAACTATTCCAAAGAAGAAGGTGGAATGCTTTCTAATACATTTTATGAAACAACATATCCTTGGCAGAAATACCCATTAAAATAAAGAAAATATGAATACAAATTTGTATTTGTACAGATACAGTTTTGAATAGTAATTAAAAAAATAAAATATTAGTGAATTTCTTCAAGAATAATACAGAAAGGATTACTGGTCAAGATGACTGAGTAGGTAATAGCTGTGGCTCAGTTGGTTGGGTATCATCTCATGCGCAAAAATTTTGCTGGTTCAATTCCTGTTCGTGGCACATGTCTGGTTTTGTGCTTGATCACTAATGGGGAGCATGCAAGCGGCAGCTCATCAGTCTCTCTCTCTCTCTCTCTCTCTCTCTCTCTCTCTCTCTCTCTCTCCCTCTCTCTCTCTCTCTACCCTACCCTACCCTATGCTTTTCTCTCTCTAAAAATCAATTTAAAAAACATTACAACTAAATTGGGGAAAGTGGTAGTGGCAAAACAAAAGAAAAATTAAAACTATATTACAGAACAACCATCATTAAGAAGACAACCTGAACACTAGCTGAACAGAATTCCAAATCTCAGTATACAAAGAAGAAGCTATGTTGAGATGTGTATGTCAACTGCAATTGAAAAATGAAATATAAGCCCTGGCTGGGTAGTTCAGTTGGTTAATGCAACTTCCCTGTACACCAAGGTTGCAGGTTCGATCTCTGGTCAGGGCACACACAGGAAGCAACCAATGAATGGATAAATAAGTGGAACAACAAATCTATGTTTCCTCTCTCTTTCTCTTCCTTTCTCTAAAAATCGATAAATAAAACTAAAAAAAGAAAATAAAAACTAAAAATAAATGAAAATTTAATAAAGAACAATACAGCCCTAACTGGTTTGGCTCAGTGGATAGAGCATTGGCCTGCAGACTGAAAGGTCCCAGGTTCGATTCCGGTGAAGGACATGTACATTGGTTCCAGGCACATCTCCAGTGGAGGGTGTGCAGGAGTCAGCTGATGGATGTTTCTCTCTCATTGATGTTTCTAACTCTCTATCCCTCTCTCTTCCTCTCTGTAAAAAATCAATAAAATATATTTTAAAAACCTGCAAGTCATTCTAAAAAATATATATATATATATATATATATATATATATATATATATATATATATATATATAATGACTAAGTCTTATTCTAAAAGTACAAGGGTTTTTAGAATAATATCAAATTTATCAAGAGAATTTATTTCATCAAAAGTTCTCAGAGAAAACTAAACAGCCATCTGGAGAGATACACAAGAGGTATGTGATACAGTTAATATTTATTCTTGATCCAGCCTCTTTGTGAACTGAGGGCAGGATATACCTCCTCCCATGATGGAGGTCTTTGGAAGCCAGCAGCCAGCATCACACTTCAGCGTGATTGTCCTGTATTCCCCTTCACACGCCAGAGCGAGCAGCATGCAGAGACCAGGAAATGCAGGGCATGAACTGGAGGGGACCAAACTGTCATTAGCTGCTGGTGATTCAGCCAGCTAACAGAATCAACAACAAATTGTTTCAAACAAATCAGCAGTTTATCTATTTGAGACTCAGCAATTCATATAATTATGGTTTGGTGGTGATGAACTCCTTTAGCTTTTTTTTTTTTTTTTTTTTTATTAGTGAAGCTCTTTATCTGGCCTTCGATTCTGAGTGATAGCTTTGCTGGGTAGATTAATTTTGGCTGTAGGTTATTACTATTCATCACCTTGAATATTTCTTGCCATTCCCTTCTGGCCTGCATGGTTTCTGTTGAGAAATCAGCTGACAATCATATAGGTGCTCCTTTATAAGTAACTACCTGCTTTGCTCTTGCTGCTTTTAATATTCTCTCTTTGTCTTTTGCTCTTGGAATTTTAATTATGATTTGTCTTGGTGTGGTCTTTTTTGGATTCCTTTTGTTTGTAGTTCTGCGCACTTCCTGGACTTGTAAGTCTAATTCTTTCACCAGGTGGGGAAAGTTTTCTGTCACTATTTCTTTCAGTATGTTTTCGATATTTTGCTCTCTCTCATCTTCTGGGACCCCCATAATTCTGATGTTGGTTCGCTTGAAGTTGTCCCAGAGGTTTCTTACATTATCTTCAATTTTCTGGATTCTCTTGCCTTCTTGCTTCTGTGGAGAAGTGTCTTCTGGCTCTTTATATTCCAAATCTTTGACTTGATTCTTGTGATCTTCCATTCTGTTTTTAGGACTCTGTATAATATTTTTTATTTCAGACAATGTATCCTTTATTTCTTGTTGATCCCTTTTTATTTCTTGTTGATTCCTTATTAATTCTAGTTTATCCCTTTTCATATCCTCATAGGTCTTATCAACCTTTTCTAGGAAATTCTTGAAAAACCTTATAAGTGTAGATTTGAATTCTATATCCAGTCACTTTTTGTCCTCCATTTCTTTTGTTTGTGATCTATTTCCTTGTCTTGGCATTTTCGCAGCTTCCCTGATGGGGCGGAGTTTTAGGGTGGAGCATATAGCCTTGGTTTCCGTCAGCCCTGCCCTATGCGGCTCCTGAGTCTCAGTAATCCCCAGGGTCCTTTAGTACTTGTTGCAAGCACCTCTAAGTGAAAGGTGCACTCGATTTTCGCCTGCTACCAAACAGTCTAGGCTCTCCCCCAATGAGCCCGGAACTGGGGTTCAGTTCAGTTGGAAGTGTAGTTGGAGGTGGCGTTCAGAGCAGTCTGGAGCTTTTGTCTCCTTCCCGCCAGGGCAATCCTGTGGCACAGCCAACCGTCCCTTCTCTGCATGCAATGTGCACGCCTCCGGGACCTCCTTTCGCCGCTCCCCTGGGATTCCGCCTCACAGCCCAGCTCCCTCTGTTTGATCCTGGGTCCCCAGGGTCTGGCCTATAACTGGGGTTCAGCACTGTCGGTCTGGGGTTCAGCACAGTTGGAGCTTTTATCTCCTTCCCGCTAGGGAACGCCAGCCAGGCACTCAGCCGCCCCTCCTCTTCAGCTCTATCCTCTCAGAGCGCGCCGCGTGTCTCCGTACCTTAGGCTTTTACAGTTCCTCTGCTCTTCCTTCTGATTTTCTCCTTGCTTCTCGTTGTAGAATTTACAGTACTTTCCTGTAGTTCTGGGTAATGTCCATTTTATATTTTAGTTGTATTTTTTTTGAAATTGTTGTGTGCAGCTGGGGTTAGGTGTTTACCTGTGCAGCCATCTTGGATTCTCCCACAAGTATTCATTTAAAAAAAAAAATCTGTATAAGTAGACCTGTGTCATTCCAGAGTCAATGATACATTTTAAAATATAATAAAATCAGCCCATGGCAATTTGTGTCTGCAATTTTTAGTAGAAATAACTTACCATGCATGCTATACTACTGCAAATAGACTAAGAAACTATAAAATAATAGCAAAATATTGAAAGATTGAGGAGGAAATGCTGCTATTCTTGTAAAAGAAAGCTGAAAGGAATGTTTTTAAAAAGAATAAGAATTCAGGGTCAACATAGATAAACATGGCACTAGTGCCACCTGCTGCTGTCAATATAAATTGCAGCTACCCAATAGTTGAATGCTATTCTGATTCTTTTAAAACTTGACCTCTTGTGGCAGGAACACGTGTTTTATGTCGCTTTCACTATTTCTGCTTCCCCAGATCTTACTACAGCAGGTCCTCAAAAGAACATCTTTTTGGTCAAAGTCATTTAATTATAAAGTTAATCAGAAAAAGATCATTATGGGCTGGGGCCACAATCTGTGAAGTGTGCAGGTTCTCCCATGTCCTAGTAATCCGGTTTGCTCCCACACCCCAACCATGTGCACATGAGGAGAACTGGCATGTTTGGGTCATCCCTGCTGAGTGAGTGTGGGTCTGGGTGATACACCCTTCGAAGCAAGGGAGTCCTGTCCAGGGTGGGGACCCACCTTGCACCTGAGCTACTGGGAGAGACTCTGGTCACTCTTGGCCCTGAACTGGAATGAGCAGGTTAAAAATCATTATCTTACTTATATGTATTAATCTGTATGGTATGTATGTATAACTCACATTTATTTCACATTTACTAATATTAGAAGTGTTTTGGGTCTTTATTTAGAAGTTTAGTGTTTTTTAAATTTTGTTTTGTTTTTTAATTTTTAAAAAACTGATTCTTAGATAGGGAATAAGGGAGAGATGTAGAGAGACACATTGATCAGCTGCCTCCCATATGCACCTGCATGGGGATCAACCCTGCAACCTAAGTATGTGCCCTGATCAGGAACTGAACCCAAGACCCTCCAGTACATGGGATGACACTCCAACCAACCAGAGCAGAAACCTGGTGATGTTTTGTGGCCAGAAATATAACATAGAAACCTAATTCTTGTTTATGTTATTTAGCCTCTAGTGAAATTGATTTTGTTACATGTCATTTTGGTTAAAGTAAAAGTTTCCAGTATCTTATCAACAATTTAAAAATTTTTTTAAATTAAATTATTATCTGTGTACATATACCATTGCCTCCCTTCCCTACCTACCCAGAGTTTTGTGTCCATTAGTTGTACTTATATGCATGTATACAAGTCCTTCAGTTGATCTCTTATCTTCCCCAGATCTCCCTCCCCTTCCCGCTGTAATTTAACAGTCTGCTTGTTGCTTTACTGTCTCTATATCTATCTTTTGGTTCATCAGTTTATAATGTTCTTTATTATCTATAAATGGGTGAGGTCATGTGGTGTTTCTCTTTCATTGACTGGCTTATTTCACTCAGCATTATGTTCTCTAATTCCATCCAGATTGCTGCTCTTATCAACAATGTTAAGTGAGAACCTCCTGTATGGGGCTGAGAATTACTTCACTTAGACCCTGTCATTTACATGCCCTAACAGCTCTACCAGGTAGGAGTATTACATAGATGAACAGAGTCTGAGAGGCACTATAGAATGTACCCAAGATCATGGAGATGGTGATTGGTAGAGCCAGCTGAGAGGCCGACCTCAAGGCCACTGTTCTGCCTTTTCACGCTATGCTTGCTGGGATCTGCCTCTTAGAGGATCATTCAGAATAACTATTTCCAACACTTCAGCCTCAGTTTACCTCCAGGAGACATTATTAGAATAAAGAAGAGGGTCTGGGTGGCCTTTCTGATTTTAATAATGCTCGTCAAGTTTGGGGTATTTATGTGCCTTTGAGCTAATTTGCATGTCTAGCAGTAATAATACTTGAATATGTTCAGAGTGCTTTGGCTTAGAAATAGGGAAATATTTTCCCTGAAAGGAATTCCCTTAGATTGAGGATTCCAAAACCATGAATTTCTATCAAGGGGGCAAGAAAGGCTTATTAGTCCTTATTTTGTATCGATGGCTTATCAAACCCTCATTGGTATGCAGAAGCTAAGAACACTTAGCACTATATTTTGATGAACCCCAGGGTTTGTTGCTAACTGTAATGGCATTTTGTGTCCAAGGTTTGAAAATGCAAAATAGAGGAGGAATGACACAAACATAATAGTATGGCAATAGATGGAGTCCGGTAGAGGAGAAGAGAACGTGGATGGAGTCATGGGCAGAGTAGCCAATCTAAGGGACAGAGAGAAGCAAAATTCAGAACATGCTCCCAGGAGCTAACACCTGGGAGAGCTGAGCTGGAGATCCAGCCCCAGCACTCGTCCAGGGGCAGCACAGACGCTGACATCAGGTGGAGTCAGGCCGATGACAAGCAAGCCGTTGGAGACTCCATGACAGTGTGGCTGGGCACCTCTGAAATCAAGAGTCAACTCCAGTTACAATGAGGGTCCAGGCAGTTCAAGTGGGTAAAGATTTATCCCGCCTCTTGGCTGTGAAAAGCAAAGCAACCAGCAATCTGCTTCTAGTCTTCTCCCTTCTCTGCACATTTGGCAACGACAGCACTTAATTCACTCCAGCTGCAGAGAGCTGAAAACCTCCATAGTGAGTTCCAACAGGATTAAGCATGTGAACACAAAAGCTGCGGCTTAGTTACCTAGTTACGGCTTAAGATTGGCATCTCAAAGCTGGGAAGCGGACTTCTGGCCTGTAGAATTGTGCTGTGTGTGTGTGTGTGTGTGTGTGTGTGTGTGTGTATGTGTGTGTGTGTGTGTGTGTATTGTAACCCCCCCTTTTTTTTCTGAATCAATGATTATATAACTTTATTATAATTATTTAAAAAATTTTTATTGTTGAAAGTATTACGTATGTCTGGACCTCTCCCCTGCAGGCCCCACCCAAATTTTCCCCTTTTAAAAAAAATTTGTGGTTAAAAAAAATATATAAAATTTATCATCTCCATTTTGAAGTACATAGTTCAGAGGTGTCAAGTATTTATCTTGTAAATATTTCCAGAACTTTTGCATCTTGCAAAACCAAAATTCTGTATCCATTAAAACTAATCTCTCCTTCATTTGTTCTTCTGTCTATGATTTTGACTACTTTAGATTCATCTCCTGACTGGAATTACTCAGTATCTGTCCTTTGTATCCACTGAGGCTTATTTCACTGAGCATATCCTCAAATTTTATCCATGTTGTAGCGCATGACTGCATTGCCTGCTTTTTCAAGGCTGTATAATATGCCCCACGTATGGAGTAGCCATATATTTTTTTATCCATTCACCCATCCATCCTGCCTCCTAGCTGCAGTGAAAAATGCTATGCTGACTTGGGTGTGCTGCTGCTTATGTTTTGAAAGCAAAACTGCCATCATGATTAGAGGTCTAGCAATCTAGGAGATGCTAATAGAAACGGAGGCAGAAAGAGATTCAGCGGCAGGCTAACTGTCTTGGGAAGCAGGGCACATGGGAGAATTCTCTCTCTCTCTTTAAAAAAAAAATATATTTTATTGATTTTTTACAGAGAGGAAGAGAGAGGGATAGAGAGTTAGAAACATTGATGAGAGAGAATCATCGGTCAGCTGCCTCTTGCACACTCCCTACTGGGGATGTGCCTGCAACTAAGGTACATGCCCTTGACCAGAATCGAACCTGAGATCCTTCAGTCTGCAGGCTGACGCTCTATCCACTGGGCCAAACCAGTTTCGGCTATGGGAGAATTCTTGGCCTCTCTGCCTGGCCGCCTGCACACCGGCCTTCGGAAACAACAGTGTAGCTTTCAGCATGACCTCTTTGGTTTAGAAAAAGGCAAACTTGCAACAAAAGGCCGGATTTTTCTTCAGTGATCCAACCATGTCACAGAATTTGGGTCTTCCGTGTCCTCATATGTCACTTTGAGACGAGGCTTGCTGGAGGGGAGGAGTGGTTCTGAACTCCAGCCTCTGGAGACACTGACTGTAATCTGTTGTTTTAAGCTTGGGTACATCATTTAAATTCTTCACAGTTTATCTTTCTCCTTTGTCAGATGAGGGTAACAGTACAGACTGAAAATATTGGGTGAGTCTTAAATGAAAGTAGTTGTAAAATTAAAATACATTATATAAACATGGACTACATTACTTTTATGGATGTTATTACAATAGCACTTTTGTCACATACGTGTTTCAACTTGTCTTTTAGCTTCCTTTCTTTTTCTAACTCTGAGGAGAGCAAGACATTCAGACCTACTCCCTGGATCTGAAAAGTGAATTCTTACCTCTCAAACCTAATGAGAAAATGATTTCTAA